TGCATGATAGTATAGTTACAGTGATACCTCTACTTACGAACCCCCTACTTACGAATTTTTCAAGATACGACCAGCTCCGGCCCCAAAAATTTACCTCGACTTGCGAACTCGCCTTGACTTACGAACCGGATCCGTGGCCATTTTCCGCCCGTTCCACGTGATCCATGGCCATTTTTCTGCCCGTGCCACGTGGTCCGCGGCCATTTTCCGCCCGCTCCACGTGGTCCGTGGCCATTTTTCCGCCCATGCCACATGCTCCGTGGCCATTTTCCGCCCGTGCCACGTGGTCCGCGGCCATTTTTTCACCCGTTCCACGTAGTCCGAGGCCATTTTTCCGCCCTGCCGCGTGGTCCAGGGCCATTTTCCGCCCCTGACACGTGGTCCGCGGCCATTTTTCCACCCTGCCGCGTGGTCTGCGGCCATTTTTCCGCCCCTGACGTGTGGTCCGTGGACGCCGGAACGGATTAATGGTAATTAAATTGAACCTTATGGGAAAATTTGCCTCGTGTTGCGACCAATTCGAGTTGCAACCAGAGTCACGGAACGGATTAAATTCGTAACTCGAGGTTCCACTGTACTTTGATGCTGATATTTGTGCTGCTGTGAAGGCTGTTTAGACGTGAAACGTCTACATTTCACTTCTACACCATGTTTCCTCCTCACATTCCTACCGAGCATTGACTAAGTTCTCCCAAGCCCTTAACTAGTTTCCGTGGAAAAGTGAGTAAAGCTCATGCAGGTATTTATTCAACATTCATGCACCTATTAAAACCACAAAGAATACCATACAGCCTGCGTGCATCTACTATACTTTTGCATTTGCTAAATCTAAATACCTTTTCTCTTAAACAGAGCCCAGTCCAGTTTATGATATTAAAGCTGAAAGCATCACTACTAAAACCCTGGAATTAAGGTGGGAAAATAATGATACAAATGCAGTGAATTACACTTATCGAATACACATTGATGGACCTAGTCATTGGCACAATATAACTTCTAATACCACATATGTGCGAGTCATTCAGTTGGACCCTGGAACATTATACAGGTTTGAAATATATGCACAAGTTGGTGATAATAAAACTGAAGGAGATCCAAATGGGACAGATGTTTATACAAGTAAGTACACTAAATTAAGAGATGTGATGTATATTACCTTATTACATAATTTGATTATGTAATATATGCAATGATATCTACCTGCATGTGGACCACAGGGGTGAAGTCTATACATTTATGATACAGAGTTAAACAGGATACCCTGTATAACATGCTGGAAAATACTTGTGTGCATTTTGCTGCATCTGAGTGATATAATTTGCATGTTACCATAGGGGAATAAATAGGAACTTGACATGATTTGCATTCTATCATTTTTCTTGTGAAATATTTTCAGATTTGATTTATTTGTATTCATTTATTAATTTTACACTGCAATTTGGATACCCGATAAGAAAGATTTTTGAACCAACTAATGATATAAAAGAATAAATAAATTGTTGAAACCTAAAATGAAAGAACAAAGAATAAGATAAATACTCCAGTTCTCCGTTTAAATTTGCATTATTCTAAAGGCTTAAGAAGGTCTGCAGACCTCTAGGAAAAAATTTGATTAAAAGCGTGAAGATAAAGGGCCTGGAGAAATAAAAAGTTCTTCCCTTTGCTCAGAAGATTAGAACAAATATGTTTCTCTCCAGTTGGCACTCCACAACTGGAGTTTCACTCTAAAAAACAAATCTGCTTTGTTGGTCGTCTCATGGTGACATCACTTGAAGGAAGGCTTCTAAAAAGGTCATAATCATAATAGACCTTTTTGAGCCAGTGGGAATGTAGAGATTAGCAAATATCTGGTTGATTTTCAGTGCACATTAATTCTACTTTATTCCAATCTGGTAATTGTTTAGTATTTTAAGGTGAAAGGTTTATAACAGTATCTTTCAAATTACAGTGGTACCTCTACTTACAAACTTAATCCGTGACTCTGATCGCAAGTTGAGTTGGTCGCAAGTCGAAGTAAATTTTCCCATAAGGTTCAATGTAATTACCGTTAATCCGTTCCGGCGTCCGCGGACCACGTGTCAGGGGCAGAAAAACGGCCACGGACCACCTGGAACGGGCGGGAAAATGGTCGCGGACCATGTGGAACGGGGGGAAAATGGCCGCGGACCACATGGAACGGGTGGAAAAATGGCCGCGGACCACGTGGCACGGGGGGGAAATGACCGATGACCACGTGGCACAGGCGGAAAAATGGCTCGTAAGTTGAGGCAAGTTCGTAAGTAGAGGTAAAGTTTTGGGGCCGGAGCTGATCATATCTGGAAAATTTCGTAAGTAGAGGCGTTTGTAAGTAGAGGTACCACTGTATAGTATAAAACATCTATATGCACGTTCCCTAATACGTGAATCTCTTAACCTAAATTACTAAAGAGACAATTGTCCAAATATTTAATACAAATTATCCTGCTTTCTCCATTGCCAACTTTTCAAGCATAAATTGTACATAATTTAAAATAAAAATCTAATTTCTTCCATGTACAGCTTTCAGTAATACATTTTTAAGATAGGAAAAAAAAGTC